ACATTGTACCATTGATCATTTCCTCCCTTGCTGGACTAAAATTCAGAGAGAGACAGGCGGTTTGGGTTTCTGTGCGGCACTATTCACTTGGTGCCATGCAGACATTCGATAGACAGCTATCTGTTGAATGAATTAATTAAGCTCCATAACTTGTCCAAGGTCCCCCCAGCTGCTGAGTGGCAGAGTGGGGCTAACGACCCACACAGTCTGGCTCCAGAGCCATGCCATCACACCATCTACCCTGCAGAGAATCCCTGCATGCTACCACCCTGCTCCTTCTTCCAAACTGCAGGAGCCAGAGACAAAGATGCCCAGGGACAAGGAAGGAGCGCTCTGCGCAGCCAGACTCCAGGACAGTGGCTTGCAGCACGGCCAATTCACATACTTACCTCCCAAACTCTCTCCTGCCCCACCAAATCCTCAAACCTTTGCTTGAGCTTCTCAAGTAATAAAAATAATAGTAACATCATCTAGTTAAACCACAAAGCATAGGGATCCCTGGGTGGCTCAGCAGTTTAGCGCTTGCCTTCAGCCCAGAGTGTGATCCTAGAGTCCCAGGATCGAGTCCCACATCAGGCTCCCTGCATAGAGCCTGCTTCTCCCTCTGCCTCTGCCTGTCTCTCTGTGTGTGTGTCTCTTATGAATAAATAAACAAAATTTTTAAAATAAATAAATAAATCACAAAGCATTTTCACACGCCAGCCCTGTGCCAAGCACACCACCAGGCCCTCTACAATGCCTTTGCTCACTTAACCCTCATCATCAACCCACAACACAGTCATCATTCCCTTTTACAGATGGGGAAACAGAGTCTCATAGCAGATGGAGTAACAGCACCAGGGGCCCGCCACCAGTCATGCAGAACCCAGCAATGAGCCCAGAGCACCTGCTACTGGAGACACAAGCCCCACCTTGGAGCAGCTGGGGGGACCTTGGACAAATTATGGAGCTTAATTAATTCATTCAACAGATGCACCTGCACAGCACAGGTCTCCACCACAGGACACCACAGTGTAGACATGGCTTCCGTCCAGCCCCCTGATCCCTCTCCATGACCACCATCCAATCATTATTTGGCATTCCAAACAGGCTCCCAAACAATCAGTCCGGGGAAGTCTTCCTTGGGCATGACCACCAAGCCCCACCTAATGGGGCTTCCAGTTTTAGGGGACCGAGCCAGGAAAAGGCAAGGACCCTCCATGCCTCTGCAGCAGGCAGGGAGCTAGGGCAGTGGACAAATTGGCCAGGATGCAAGAGAGTGGGCCCCAGAAATTGACAAACAGCAGACAATACTGGGCTGGGGGTGCAAATGGAAGCCAGTAGATCTTCCCCAGGGCCCGTCCTGGCCTGACCATCCTCAGGCCTCTCTCCTCTCTGCACCCTGTGCCTACAAGGGGAATCTGTAGTAAGCCTAGAATACAAGTGCCTGGGGTGGAAGGGAGATGGGGTGTCTCCCCCTGCCCATACTACACTCTCTTACCACACACTCCTGGATGCTCTAGTCTGAAAGGCTTTTTTAATTAAAAAAAAATTTTTTCAACTGAAAGTCAAAGTCCTTGAGTGGAAGAAAAGACAATTAATAGTGGCCATGGCTAGGTCCCTCTGAGCCTGAATTCTACAAAGAGATGAAGCAATCAGGCCTCCTCCACCACACCCCTAACCTTCACTCTGTATTTTAATTGTTCCATCACAGTGAATTATTCAGCATCCCTTCGTCTTCCAGCCCACCAGCCCCGCAGCCCCTCTGGCTGAGCCAATTTCCTCAACAGCTCTGGGGCCTGCACAGTCTCTTCCCAGAAGTCTCCGCAGCACACCAATTTCTTCCCACTTGGGGTGATAGGCCTGGACCCAGAGTTATGGGATACAGGACCATAAAGTTGTGGGGCCTCGCAGGCCGTCATAGACACTGCCCAGAAGACAAAAGGCGAATGCACAGCTGCAGTCTCTCCAAATTTCACAGCCTCAGACCTGCTGTTTCGGCCCCCAGGACTGCAAGACACCCATATCGATTAGAAAGAGCATTTGCTACAGTTATTTTAAGTCTGCCTGGGCTCTCACCCTCTCTTTGGGTGTTCCTTTCTTCCTCAAATGGCTCTTTCAAGGCCTGCCTGCTGCAAAGGCAGGCTCCCTCTGCTTTCTATATCCTTTCCCCACCCAAGAAGTTTTGCACATAGCAAAGACCAGACACCCCTGGCTCTTCTACAATAATGCACCATGGATTCCATCTCTGAAGTCCCCAAAGGGAAAATCCAGAGAAGGCTTCCTGACTCTTCCCAACCTTCCCAGCCTCAAGCCCCATCACTTTCTAACTAGACACAGCATGCTGCAGCCCAGGGCCAAAGCTAGTCTGTTCACCCATCAGGCTGGCATAGGCACACCCGCAGGCCTTTTGCTCATGCATCCCCTCGGCTTGGGCTGCCTGCCTTCTCTGCTTAGCAGGCTCCCGCCAACCACTATTGGGTCCCACCAAGTGCTGATAAAATGGCCCATCCTCTGAGAAGCACCTTCCCCTCAAGAAAAGTGCTTCCCACCCCAATGCTCCCCATCACACTGCCAGCCTGACCCTCTCCCAAAAGCTTTCAGTTAGGTGTCCCCTGCCCAGGCCTCTTGACTGTACACCCCTTGAAGGCAGGGACATGTTCACTCCCTGCTGGAGCCTCAGAGCTGAGCGCAGTTCCTGGTTCTGTGAACATTTGCTGAATTAAATAATGAGACTCTTCTCCTGATCCTATCATAATAATGCCTCTCACTCAGTGAGCATCATCATGAACCAGGCACTTTCCACATATTATCTTCAGTCCTCACCAGAGGACTGAACCAGAGACTTTAGTATCAGCAGCCCCATTTTCTGGATAGAAAGTAACTAAGCTCAGAGAAGTTAAGTCACTTGCCCAGGGTCACACAGCAACCTAGCAGTTGGAGCCCCGACTCTTTCTTTTGTTTTGTTTTTTTTTTTTAAGATTTTATTTATTTATTCAGAGAGAGAGAGAGAGAGAGAGAGAGAGAGGCAGAGGAGAAGCAGGCATCATACAGAGAGAGCCTGATGTGGGACTCAATCCAGGGTCTCCAGGATCACACCCGGGGCCGCAGGCGGCGCTAAACCACTGCGCCACCAGGGCTGCCCCGACTCTTTCTTTTGCACTAGGAAACTTCACTTCCATTCCACTTTGATTATGAGAGAGCTCAAGAGTTCCTGAACATCAAAACAGATACTGTCCTCAAAACTAAGGATGGAGAGAAAGAGCAAGGAATGAGATAATTTCAAGATTCAGATCCAGAAGCAAAGGCAAGGGGCTACTGTGTGTCAGACCTAGGCTGCTACCAGGGTAACAACTGCAGGAGAAATGCCCTGTGGATGAGGCAAAGCACCAGAGAACAGGTCCAGAGTGAACAGGTGTGGAGGGTGACCCTGCAACCTCAAGGCTCCTCTGGGTAGATTTCTGCCCCTCAGTCCCTCTCCACGGCCACAGAGCATAATGCACAGGCTGCCCCATGGCCACACAGGATAATGCACAGGAAACTTGATTTGGTCCAACCTCTCTCCACACAGCATCTCTCCCCAGCCCCACAACACACACTGGCCTCACACTCTCTCTCCCTCTCTCTCTCTTTCTCTCTCTCTCTCTCTCTCTCTCACACACACACACACACACACACACACACACACATGCACACGCACACCAATTCCCATCTAGATTGCATCTAGATTGCAAATTCTCTGAAACCTCCACGGGCATTTTTCAGACTCAGCCAAGAAGAGTCTGGGGCAAATGTGTGCTCACTAATTGCTGACCTTGGTAGAGAGTTTGATCCAGGAGACAGCTCTCCCCAGGGTCAAATTTCTGCTCTGGCCAGCTAGAAGCTATGAAAATGTACTCAAGTTATCGAAATATGTATGCCTTTCCTGAGAGCCACTGCCATCGCCCAGGAGTGTGGGCAGGAGTACGCAGGTTTCAAAGGAGCCAGCAGCCTTCTCCAAAGTCCGGTTCAAAAATCTCTTGAGGCAGTCACCTCTGCAGGCAGCACAAAGGCTCTGCATGTGACCAAAAATCCACACGCATGGCCCAAGTACAGGGACTCTTACAACCTCCCATTACTGAGGTGACACTACAGATACTAGGAATTCACACATCACACATTCTGCAGGAGAATCTCGGAAAGCAAATTATATAGGTCCATACACACACACACACACACACACACACACACACACACACCCTACAAAGCTCTCTGGGTCTAGAAAGGGCTGAGTTTCCTTAAGAATTTAGAAGTAAGAGACAGGGGAAGAGAAATGGGTTTGTTTGTTTTTTTAATGACTTTTCATGGTCAGTGTCTCCACTGCAGGCTCCTGATCTCCCGGCATGATTCACAGGGCTCCCGGACCAACTCACACCTACCCCTTTCCGGGTGTCGATGTCACAAACCCCAGACCCCAAACCCAAACCCCTCAGGTCCCATTGTCTGCCTGGGTTGGGGCTGGCAGGATGTGAGGTGGGGGGCCAGTGCCTGACACCTGCAAGAGAAGAATTCCTAAGGCTCTGGGGCAAACAATGGCGAGGACCGGGAAGACTGGAAACTTCAACTCCATCCCATCTTGCTGCCCATCCCCTGCCTGCTAGCCCTCAGCGCCGGGCCGCGCTGGACGCTCAGGACACAGCCCAAGCCCCACGTGCCCGAAAGGAGATGCGGCGCCGGGCAGCGTGAGGAGCTCCCCCCGGGGGCCAGGAAGGCTCCCTGGCACCAACCCCCGGGCACCCCGGGGGAATAAAGTGCCGGCGCGGGGGGGTGGGGGGTGGCCTGCCCGGGCCGAGCACAGGGTGCAGGTGTGAGGGTGCGGCTGCCAGCCCCGCCGGGGCCCTTTGAATCCCGGGGAAGGGAAAGAGCGAAGCGCCGGCTCCGGTCGGAAGGGCCCCGGCAGGCACCGGTCGGAAGGGCCCCCGCAGGCACCGGCCGGGCCTCCCCGCCCCAGCCCCGGCGTCGGGTGGAGCGGCCGTACTCACAGGCGCTCGGTGTTCCGCGGGATGTTCTTCGGGATGGCCGCCAGCCCCGTGCCGTGGCAGTCCACCGTGGCGCCCGTGCAGGTGCAGAGCGCGGGGCACGCCGTGGCACCCAGGCGCCACGCGGCCGCCCACAGCAGCAGCCAGAGCTCGGGCCGGACGAGCCGCGCCGGGGGCCCCCTCCGGGCCGCCAGCGCCATGGTGCCCTCGCCGCGTCCGCTCGTGCGCCGGCCGGCCGCAGCCGCTCACCATCCCCGCCCGGGGGCCTCCAGGGGCAGCCCGGGCAGCGCCGCCCTTAGGGGCTGGGAGGCAGCCTGCTCCTCCGAGCGACGGCGCCCGCGCGCGGACCGAGCGAGGGCGCCTTGGCGGAGGGCGCTCGGCCCCTCCTCGGCTTCTCGCCGGCCGGCTGCGTCTCCCGCTCTCCCGCCCTCCAGCTCCCAGCCGACTGCGGCGAGGAGGAAAATGGGCAGGCCCCGCGCGCGCACGCACCCCGCGCACACACACGCGCAAGCACACACTCACGCCCGCACGCTCGCTCTCAGCCCGCAGCCATCCGTCAACCGAAAAGCACACATCCAGGGCCAGACTCCTCCCCGCCCTCCCCCGACACCCCCTCCCCCGCCTCCCGACGACCGCTCGGCGGCTGCGGCGAGCAGCGCGCAGTTTCAAAGGTGGAACCTTCGAGGCGCCGCGAGCCGTCAAGGGGCTGCGGGGGAGGGGGGGGAGGGGATGAGAGGAAGGCCCCAGCCCGGCCTGCTCAGTCTTGGCCCTGGCCGGCTGCGCGCGCGCGCGCGCACACACACACACACACACACACACACACACGCACCCCGCGAGTATGTGCACACTTAGACGCACGCACTCAGGATGCGCAGCCCGGGCGGCTGGGCCAGAGTGGGGAGGGAGAGCTTGCCCGGCCGCCCGCACCCCCTCCCGGGGGCCATAGATAAGCTTTCCCCGACGGCAGATGCTTGCCAGGCCTCCCAGACTTTGGGAGGCTTTGTCAATACTTGGTGAAAGCAAACCCCTTGCCACCTACCTTACTTAGCCTGGGACTTGGAGGGACGGAGCCTGGCGGTGGGGGGAGGGAATGCACGAAAGCCCTAAGCCAAGTACTGTCTTCTCCCCCCTCCACCAAGATGACAGCAGCCCCACTTGTCTGATGAGAAGACCGAAGCTAGCTGCACCCAGATGAAAATGACTCTGATTTGGACGTTGGCACCCCGGGGAGATGTTATTTCTGCGCATTGGGCTACCCTGGCTTCCCAGGTGGGAGGGTGGGGGTTGCAGAGTATCAAGGGAGTGGGGGGGGGGGGGTTTGGAAATCCAGCAAATATCTTCTTCCGCTCACAGCAGCATTCTTCCGTTTCTGGCAGATGAAAACGAGTATTCAGTCCTGACATCAGAGGACTGCAGGAGGGCTGGAAGAAGGCTGGGTGGCCTGCTGGGGGAGAAGCTCCACGGGACACCATTGTCAGACTCCAAACTTTTAGCCTCCTTCAGCAGTGACTTTTCTTACTCTAAAGCAGGTGTAGATATGTGTGTGAACAGGACATCGATAGGGAGGGAACGAGCCTCCAGCCCAGAAAAGATGAAGGACCTCCCCAAAACCAAGAACAGCCGTGGTTCGCTTGTGCCGTCTAGGACCCAGACATCCTCTGTCCATCTGTCCCCCTGATTCCAGGCCACCTACAGGAAGGCTGACAAGAAAAAATGGCTGAGCAGCTCAAGAAAGCTCAAGAAGCACCTCCCTTCCCAGGATTTGGCTCCCTGGGTTTCCCCTTGGGAGGAACCAGAAAGAGAGGTAACTGGTCCAAGAGATGCCAGGGATCGGCACAGCAGGGATGGGGCTGGTGGGATGCGGAGAATCGCCGCAAGATTAAAGCCTTATCTACCAGGTATCCAAGATGCAGGGGTTTTCTTTGTTTTCCTTTTCCATCATGATGATTTTACAGTATTTCTGCTGTCGTACACAGTACAGACAGAACTGTGGCCAGCATGTCACAACAAATATGGCTGGTGTTATGGGCTTTTGACAGTTCTTTTACAAGTTTTTACACACTCCTGTCCTGACCTCCATCCAAGGCCATGGGTTCTTCAGCATCAATTCAATGACAACTCAGGGGGACGGGGGCCTTCTCACGGATCCCCAGGGGGTGTGATCTTAGAGAAGCTTCCCAGGAAGGAAGCCAGAGCTCCTCAGCCTCTGAGGGCCTCCTCACTCCTTTCCCTCACAAATTTCTCCTGCTTCTTGGTGGGGTACTCAGCCACCCTCTCCTCAAGGGCCTCCCCAGCTGCCTGAGGCAGAGTTAAATCCTCATTTCTCTGAGCCTGCTGCTTTGTTTATCCCCTCTTGGCTGGAGCTGTTTACACATGTGGCTCCTTCCCTGACACTCCTCTGGGGGCAGAGCCTGCCTCTTCCCCCGCGGCTTACTCATTCCCTCACTCTGGCACTTACCCCAGCACCTGGCACTTAGTAGGCCCATCACAGGCTGCACTCAGAGTGCTGAAGATGCCCAGTATCCAGCCTTCGGCTCCAGCGGTGCCTCCTCAGACCTCAGAGGGCTCCTCGGAAGCCAGGACCCATGTGGGGAAGAGGGAGAGTGTTGATTAACCGGGCTACATGCCCTGGGGCTTCAGAATGTTCCGGTGAAGTGGTGGAAGGAGGGATAGGAGAGGGCAGGGGGCTGCAAGATCAGCCCTGCCTGTGTCTCCCAAGAGCCAGCCAGTGCACTGGAAGCTTCTAGACTAGCCTGGACAGTGAATCCCAAATTATCACCCCCCTGGCAAAGCCTGCCCTTTCCTATAAAGGAGAAGAGAGGAAGGAGGGACCCCTCAGACCCAGGACAAAGACTCCCCCCCCACCAGCCTAGTCATGGGAGGCCCTGCCCCAGCAGCCAGGCAGCTCCCCAACTTGGCTCCGATCCCCAGTTCCTCCACCCCAGAACCTGGCTGGCTCCCCAATTTGGGAGGCAGCTAGCCATGAATGAACGCAGCTCATTAGCGTTCCTAGCACATTTACTCCTGAAACAACCGCCTGGCCAGCAGCTCACCCTCCACCCCCACACTGTCTTGCTGGTTCAGTTTCCTCTCCCAGGCCCCTCCCTCTGTTGGATCTCCCTACCCCCTCCCTACAGCAGGGCCACCTGCTCCCTCTGCAGGGGTGGGGAGGAGGCAGCCCTGTCACATTGCTTCTGCCAGGAATGCTCTGTCAAAGCCCACTGGCCACCATCAGGGCAACAGGCTGGGGGGGGGGGGGGAGTCGTGGAGGGCTCCACTTGGAACTGGGTGTCCCCATCCCGGTGGTGTGAATTTTCTCCAGTCCCTTCAGCCTGCTCAGGAGTTGAGGACCACCTCTTGCCTGGGACTAGGGGAGGCTTTGGGGAGTGCCTTCTTCCAGCTTTCTGCTCAGCGCCCTCTGCTCCACCTCCAGCAGCTCACCGAGAAGCAGAGAGCCTGGGGGAGGCTGTGGAGCACTGTGCTTTGGATTTCTGGCCTGCAAAAGGCAAGAATGAGTCAAAGAAGTGCCTGGGCATTTGCCTGGGCATTTGTTAAACACCACTTATGAAGTATCTGTGGACAGGGAACTGGGACTTGGCAATCCAACAGGGAATAAGAACTGCCCTGGCCTGCACTGAGCTCACAGTCCAAGGGGAGCAGAAAGACAAAAGCCCACGCTGCATGATGAGTCTAGTAACAGGGAGTGTGGAACTTCAGAGAACCCAGAATGTGGGGCTCAGGGTAGCAGAAAGCTCCCTAGAAGAGGAAGCACTTGAGCTGAATCTTGAAGGATAAATAGGCATTGGCTGAGCAGTAGAAGAGGAAGAAAAGCTTTCCTGGGCAAAGAGAAGTGCAGAGGTAAGGCCCACAGTGGATATTCTCAGTGGCTGAGCTGGTCCAAGTTCAGCAAGGCTGGAATGTGGCAGGGGTTCAAGTAGGAAGTGCAGGCAGAGGTCAGAGAGTTGGGTTAGGGGGAGAGGAAGCATCCCAGATGCCCTCCTGCAGCTATTCTGGCTTCACTGGCTTGTAGAATTCCCTCATCTGTCGCTGTGCTAAAACACAAGCCCATATATGTATGTACCTGCAATACATTATCCCTGGAACCGGTGACAGTGGTCACTCCCAGGGAAGGGCCTGGATAATGGCAGGGGGACAGTCTCAGCATATGCTTCCATTGTTAGGATTTTTTAAAATATTTTATTTTTTATTTATTCATGACAGACACAGAGAGGGAGAGAGAGAGAGGCAGAGACACAGGCAGAGGGAGAAGCAGGCTCCATGCAGGGAGCCCGACGTGGGACTCGATCTTGGGTCTCCAGGATACACCCTAGGCTGAAGGCGGCACTAAACTGCTGAGCCACCTGGGCTGCCCAGGATTTTTTTAAAACCTGTATAGTATGCCTTAACCTCTCCATCACCACCAATGCATTTTTTTTTACCACCAATACATTTTTTTAAAGATTTTATTTATTTATTCATGACAGAGAGAGAGAGAGAGAGGCAGAGACACAGGCAGAGGGAGAAGCAGGCTCCACGCAGGGAGCCCGACACGGGACTCGATCCTGGGTGTCCAGGATCACACTCCGGGCTGAAGGCGGCGCTAAACCACTGGGCCACCGGGGCTGCCCACACCAATACATTTTTAAATCCCCTTGGATGCTTATTATAAATGCCAATTCCCAGGACCCACCTAGACCTTCTTAATCAGAATCTTCACTGTTGGGACGCCTGGGTGGCTCAGTGGTTGAGTGTCTGCCTTCGGCTCAGGTGGTGATCCTGGGGTCCAGGGATGGTCTCGCATCAGGCTTCCCGCAGGGTATCTGTTTCCCCCTCTGCCTGTGTTTCTGCCTGTCTGTCGTGAATAAATAAAATCTTTTTAAAAATAAAAAAGTAAAAGAAAAAGAAAAAAAGAAAGAATCTTCACTATAAGCACTATTAGCACACTGGGGAGTGAGGCAGTATGATTCTGACAAATGTGGCTCCAGAGATCATGCTCTAGAATGGAGGCCTGGTGTGCTGGGTTAATGAGTTTGAACTTGGACCTAAAAACTCTGGGAACCACTCAAGGAAAGGGACCAGCAAGGACAAAGGGTCTGAGGCCTGTCTGTTCCTCCTCTCCAGTTTCCACACACTCTTAGCAAGGATGAGACACATCAAAGAAAAAGCCACAGGGGACTGGAGGGGAGGGGACAGAGCCATGTGACACTGGTGCATCGAAGCTTCTATCACAAGATGTCAGAGCTGGAAGGGGATAAAGAAATTCTCAAATTGGGGATCCCTGGGTGGCGCAGCGGTTTGGCGCCTGCCTTTGTTCCAGGGTGCGATCCTGGAGACCCAGGATCGAATCCCACATCGGGCTCCTGGTGCATGGAGCCTGCTTCTCCCTCTGCCTATGTCTCTGCCTCTCTCTCTCTCTGTGACTATCATAAATAAATAAAAATTAAAAAAAAATTCTCAAATCCTATCACCATGTACAGTTGTGTACAGTTGGCAGCCCAGGGAAGTAAAGCAAAGCAAGCAGCCTAATCTCACATAGCAAAGGAATTGCAGAGGTGAGCCATGAATGAGGTGGAT